CTGTCATGATTGGAAGCTTCCTGAGATCCCCCACCCCGCTGCCCAGAAGCAGATACCATTATGCTTCCTGTACAGCCTGCAGAACTGTGAGCCAATTAAACCTCTTTTCTTTATAAATTACCCAGCCCCAGGTATTTCTTTATAACAATGATCACACCTGTAATTCCAGCACTTTGGGAGGGTGAGACGGGTAGATCAGTTGAGGTAAGGAGTTTGAGACCAGCTTGGCCAACATGGTGAAACCCCATCTCTGCTACAAATACAAAAATTAGCTGGGCATGGTGGCTCCTGCTTGCAGTCCTAACTACTCGGGAGGCTGAGGCGGGAGAATTGCTTGAACCCAGGAGGCAGAGGTTGCAGTGAGCCTATATTGCACCACTGCATTCCAGTCTGGGCAACAGAGCTCCTTCTCAAAAAGAAAACAGAAACAAAACCAAAAACAGATAAACGGCCTAGTACACCCTCTGGTACATATGATCCCAGCGCCCCTCCAGGCCATCTCTCCATATGGGCTGATGTGGCTTTCCTATGGTGGAGTGACCTAGGATACAAACACTGCCTCTGTGGCCACTAGGACTTCAGGAGTGTGTTCCAGAGGGCTAGCAGAAGTGGCATGGTGTTTTCCCACCTTTGAGTGAGGGGGTTAAAGTTTCCCACCTTCTGAGGCAGGGGTGTTAAAACCTGGTGGGCAGGTTTTTACACAGCCACAGAAGAAAGGACATGTGGAAAGGGCAAGAAATGGCCTCTTTGGTCATCTTGGAGAAACTCGGGAAAGCCGAGGTGTAAGGAAGCTGTAGGAACAGGCGGGCAATGAGGCTGGAGAGGATGGAGACTCCAATGCAGGATGACCTTGCACGCTGTGTCCTGGAGCCCAGCTCTATCCTGAGGTGAGCAGGAACATTTTGGTACTTCCTGAATCAGGAAGGTGCATTAGTCAGAACCTCAGGCTACCCTGTGGGAGCAGTTGGGAAGGAGGTCATAATAGAAGTGAGAGTAGTGAAGTGATGTCAGCAACAGTCCTGTGAGGGATGATGGTGGGTGCAGATGGACGATGGATTGATAGATACCTGGAGGTAGAATTGACAGGTTTGGGGCCTGATTGAATTGAGGGCAAGAGATTAGAAGCAGGGGGGATGGCAACTAGGACTATGGCTTGGACCACCAGGCAGTGTACAGTTTCTCTACGCCCTCGCCAACGCTTGTTATTTTCCGTTTTCTTCTTGATAGCAGCCATCCATTGGGTGTGAGGTGGTATCTCATTGTGGTTTTATTTGCATTTCCCTAATGACTAGTGATGTGAAGCATTGGTCAAAAGTTTTCAATCAAGAGGTATCAGCCTTCTGAGAAACTAGCACATTAGACAGTGGAGATGTGGTAACTGTGTGTGTGTTAGAACAGATGGGAGGGCCACTGAGATCAACTTGCCCTGTGCATGGAGATGTAATAACTATGTGTGGGTCAGAACAGAAGCGGGGGACCC